CCCCCCCCCCCCCCCCCCCCCCCCCACACACACAAAACAGTGAAGATATGTGGCCGACGCCCCAGTGACTCAGACACCACAGGACAAGCTAATGTCACTGATTTAGCAGATCGGCCCCCCCTCCCTTCCCTCCCCTGTCCAGCATTCAAAAGTGGATACAGGATAAATGCCACAGGGCCTCACAAAAAGCAGGGTGACATGGCACTGTGGAAGCGGACACGTCACATAACACCCCCCAGCAGCGCGGGTTCAAATCCCACCTCCATCTCTGAAAGGACGGCCTACTGCCTACAGCCGCACCGACAGCATATGAACACCCAGTATCCATCTTGCAGTAGCCGGCACACACGCACATGTCAATTTCCATGGTAGATGTATGAACCTACATGGTTCAAAACCCCACTAAAATGGCTGTCAAACCTCCGTGAACGTGATAAATGGCCAAAACATAGTTCTGAGCAAACATCAGGTTTCCAGGCCCTCTCTCAGCCCCTCTGCCCCCCCCCCCAGCTTGTAAATCGCAGACCAACTACTTCACACACAGGATGTGCAAATCATGCTGGTGTCTGACGGACAATACTTCTACCCCTTAAAAAATGTAGGCAAGCATGCTGATAAAGTGCAGTGCAGTTGGCCGCAAACTCCCGGCCCAGCGTCGCAAGCGGTATTTAAGCACTGCATGTGCTGTGTCATGACTGTGAGCGTCTGTTTCTGAAGAAGATGAAAATACCTTCATATTTGACCAGCACTCACCTGGGAGCTGCATCGGCGATACTCCTTCTCTGGTCCGGAGCACTTGAAGTTTCGCGGGGGCGGCCCGCCGGGCCTCCATCTGCCTCCAGCTGGCCTCAGTTCACTCGCTGCCTCACCCCCCCCTTCTGGCTCTTCGCCAGGCTGCTGGGGAGGCGGCAGCCAGATGTTAGGGTTTGAGGGCGAACCTGGTGGCAGCTGCAGGGGGCGAGTGGGGGGCAAGGGGGGAGCAAAGCTGTACAGAGGCTCCCTGTGGGGCACAGGCTGCCAGAAAGGGGGGTAGGCCGGGTGGGAGTTTGGAGATGGGGCCCGTCGCTCAGGCTGCCATTCGCGGCTGGGGTGGGGCGGCGTGCGGACACGGGGGATGAAGTGGGCGGGCCTGTCTCTCTCCACCAGACCGGGTGGGACCTCGTCTGGGCGTCCGTGCGGGAGTCCGACGCTCCTGCCATCTGTGGTTGCTTGACCCGGCTCAACACGTTCGTCCGGTCTGGGGTCAGGGAGCCCCGCAGAAGTGATGCTCCTCCCCACCTGCCTCTCTGGCTCTACCTTCCCCCAGTCCTCCTCGGCTCCAGGGTGCTCCTTGGGTTCAGCCGGACCCACACCGCCGTGCCCCGCCGGGGGGGGCTCTTCGGCAGCAGCGGCAGAGCTGGAGCTGTTGCCCCCGTGGACGGAGTGCCGGGCTTGCCGATTTTGCCGATGCAAAGGCAGAGAGAAGGGCATCCGGCCGTAACCGAACTGACCTGGGCGGATGGAGGATCCTGGCGACACGGACCTGGAAGCAACGGCGAGGGACAGGCAAGTGGGAGAGATGGAGACAGAGCAGGAGAACTCAGAAAGAAGCTCATTTCTCAGTCAGTTTATTGCACAAAGGTGGCTGGTCTATTAACAGGAAAACTCATGCCATTTCTTTTTTTTAGTAATTCAAAAAAACAGTAGCAGCTTGTTGATACTTTAACCAGCGACTCCAAAACACGGTGCACATTTCTTCATGGCAGACCTGCAAAGATTAACATCTGCAACAAACTGCTGCTCACCTTCTGGGAGACACTCCATCCTGATTGGCTGGCACTGACCTCCTGGTCCCGCCCCCAGCAACTCTGCCAGTGCCCTCGCTGTCAGGTGGCCAGGGGGACCTTCCCACCTGCCCATAATTAATGGAGGAGGAGGGGAAGGAGGGAGGACGATAAACAGAAACAGACTCTTGATTATATGGAGGAAAGTCTCTCCAGGACAGGGGAGCCTCAGGCCTGGCCTGATCAGGAAGACCAGATCCCTGACTGCGTCTAAACACTGGAAGCCTGCCGTTCTGATTGGCCGATGACGACGGCGAATAGAAAGGGCGTCTTTCGCCACCACTGTAGGCATACGTATCGGTTAGTGGGTACTGGGAGGGGTAGTGGGGGCGAATGGCTGAAACAACAGGGGTGTGGTTAGGAAGACCCAGGGACAGAAAGGCCGGCAGCTCCCAGCTGTGCGAGGCGCGGGGTTTGGCCAGGCATCGCCTCCTTCGGTCGGACACGCCCACGCCACACGTCTGTGAGCAGTCCCCCCACGGGCTCCATGGCCCCCAGCTGGCCTCCAGTCCCTCTGTCTCCTGGGTTTGGCGAGCTTTTCTCCCAGAGACCTGGACGCACGCAGAGAGATGTGTTTCACACCACACGCCCTTCTATAACAGCCCCCCAATCACCCACCCACCAATCACTAAGCGCTCTTCTGTAACAGGCCCCCAACATACAGCCTCATCTGCCCACAAATCACTAAGCGTCATTCTGTAACAGGCCCCCAATCACAGTCTGACCTGCCCACCAATCACCACACACCCTTCAGTAACAGGCCCCCAACACTGTCTCGTCTGCCCACCAATCACCACACACCCTTCTGTAACAGGCCCCCAACACTGTCTCATCTGCCCACCAATCACCACACACCCTTCTGTAACAGGCCACCAACACACAGCCTCACCCGCCCACTAATCACTAAGCGCCATTCTATAACAGGCCTCCAACACACAGCCTCACCCACCCACCAATCACCACACAGAAAGGCTTCCAGAACTCACCACTGGTCATTTATATAATCTGTTAAAACCACAGCTGTGACCCAGGCTATTACATTAAATGCCTTCCCATTACGGCCTTTGGAAACCATCTTTATATTGAACGAGAGCAGAAATTGTATTACATTATAAACTAGACCGCAAGATGTAAGAGCTACATATGAAAGTTTAAATTCATCCAATCAAAGTCGATAAATCCGGCGAAAACTAATCAGGGCTGCTATGCATTACAGAAATTTGTGATCTAATCCATGTCGGGTATGTATACCAAAGTGCTGTGTACATGGAAGGGTTGCTATATGTTGTTATTGAGGAATCACTTAACCCCCCTGTGCCCAGCCTGTCCATCTTTCACTGTAACGACATTACTCACCCGTGCTTCCGCCCTTGTCAGAAAAATCCAGATAAGCAGAGAAATCCGCAACACCAACACGCTATAAGGCAAAAAAGACGGGTTCATTTTTCCAAAACTGCTGTAAAATAAAACAAGAATTTGATGGCGAATATCTGAAAACTTATTTCAATAAAAACAAAATGACGGCCATTTTTAAAGCAGCTGTTTATACACAGGCTTTGGCCAATTGCACGCAACAGTGTTACATGATGAAATATTTCCATGCAGATTTCGGGAGTCACTCCAGATTGGCGCGGTTCATTGCAGGAGATCCATGGTCAAAACGAACGCATCATGCACTGATCCTGAACACGTTGCCGGGTGTGGAGATGGATTAGAGCCCCGTTTTCCCCCAACCCCAGCCATGTCCCGATCAAATTCCCACCATTCTCCTCTCCAAAGTGGCTTAACCATTAATCTTTTAACCCAAAGAAGCAAACCATGCCAATTATCGGACTCCAAGTTCTTGAAAAATGATGCGTTTATGAAGCATCGTGGCGTTGCTGATGGATCCCGTTTGCAGTGTTATTAAACACCCCATAAAACTATCCGGGACAGTGGCATTTTGTGTATGTTTCTTATTGCTGCCTGTGAGCAGTAGAGCATTTTAATGAAACATTTCGCACCCACCCAGCGCCGCGACACACCGCTGCGCTTTTACACCCCTAACATCCACCACAAATCTTCCCGCACTGTGGTAAAGTGCAGCTAGTGAACTGGCTGTCCGGCGGTAAACCAAGGTAAATCCGACCATACAATTAAGGCTTAAAAGGGAAAAGGAGCTAAAGCGATCCAGGACTGAAGAGCTGCAGGAAGGACCCTCTGCCCACGTTGCACTAGCCGCCTCGACTGGGACTTTGTACAACATAAGAAACTTTGCAAAGTTATGAACTGTAAACGTACTTTCCATGGGAAGGGGGGGGGCTTTCCACGTAGCACCAAACAGGGAGCAAATACAGTGGAATGAGCACCATCTGCGTTATAACCAGCTCAGCGGACCATCTCAGCAATCCGTCCCAGATATGAATTCCAGCCGCGATATTGCCGATCGCCGCTGCGCCGAGGCGCACTTGGGGACCGCGAGCGCCGCAGCACTTTCCCGAGCAGGCGGCGGAGCACCGAGTCAGTCCCTCTCAGCCGACTTACCTGCGCTCAGATTTGCTCTTCATACTTTGCCGATGTCCTCTCCCTCTTTCCCCTCCACTTGTAGAGGAACCGCCGACCTTTACCGATCCGTTTGTTTATTAGACCGCTGAAGTGCGGGTTGCTGCTATGAAAAGGAAAACGCTGGTATGCCACTAAGGGGAATTCTTTCGCGTGCACCTCTCCCTCCCTCACCACCCTCCCACCCTTTCTATGTCGCCGTCACCGTCCTCTCCCTTCCTCTCCCTGTCACCCACTTCTCTCTCTACCCCCCCTACCCCCGTTTACGCAAAAGCTAAATTCTCCGGGTTGTTGTTTCCTCTCTCGCCATGTCGACAACTTTTTATCCTTGTTTTAAGTCGGTGTGACGTCTACCAGCGTGGAGGGGGGCAGAAAGAGAAAAGGGGGAATCAAAAAATTACACAACCCACACTCTCTCACACCCTCAGACACTGTGTGTACACTGACACACACATACACAGTAACCTATATAGTCTGGGACTATAGCCAGAATGACAACATGAGATTGCACTGCTACATGTCATATTGGCCTAAATAATTACAGAAATGCCGAACTTTTCTAAAGCACATCGCCTCATAATGACCTCAGCATTTTCTCACAGATGGCGAAGATGGTGTTACTGTTAACTGACTGAAGCAAATGTGCAGAGATTATTGCTTCTTTAACGATATCATGCTGAAAACGGAACAACACGCCACTTTTTGGCGCTGGTGAATAATCGACCTGACGGTGCTCAAACGAGAAAAGTTCAACTTTAATGGCCAATTTTTAAAACAAAAAAATCACCTCAAAGATTTTCAACGTGCTTCTGGTGGCATTCATGACAAATGACTAGGTAAATTATGGTTACGCACTCCAGCGAGATTGTCAACCACGTACCCCCCACCCCAAAAAAACGGTACAATTCTGAATGTTGATAAGCGGACTCACTCAACAAATGTCCCCCCGGGAGCAAGATTAAAACGCCACACTTAACTGAAAATAGAATAAATATAGACATTTTTAACTAAAAATAAATCAACATATTTCCGCAGGGACAGGAAACATAGAAATCAGCCAAGTTCCTTCATATTAGGAGGTCAAACCTGAATACGAAAAACATAAACGTATTAATAACCTACACAATTTACATTCCTGGTAAGTTATATGAGTACAATACCTAAAAGAATATAGACCTATACAATATATACTTTCCTATTGAACAACCTGCATGCTGCAGTGCAATCAGACCATTGCAGTATCCAGCCAGCTTCTACACACTCTCACCCAGTACAGGGTAACACAGTGGTAAAAGCACCCTGCAGGGGATGCCAATCCAGGAGAAACCCATGTAATGCTGCAGTGGGCACGCAAAGACATGGAGCAGAAGCGAGATTACAACTTCTAGAGATGTGAGACAAGAGCCACAACTGCAACACACATGGCTGCATATTTGAAAGAAGCACCTACCCAGGAAAAGAAAGACACTGAGATTTCCCACAATTCAGTTAGGCATCCTGTTTATGGGTTGCCATTGCCTGGATTTGCATGTAATTTGTAGGACCTGCTATAGATTATTATTATCATTATTATTATTACCACTACTTTTTGTGGCCTAACAGCTGCTTGTAACACAGACTGACAGACTGGCGACTCTCTGAAATAGTTTCCCAGTAGGTGGTAATTCCATGCAGACAATTATATCTGCATATATAATCCATCCATGCATCCTCTAACCATATCCAGAGCAGGTTCAGGGGCTTGCAGACGTGCACTACCATTTTGACATAAATACCTGTGTCATCTCCTGTCACTAGTGTGGTTTCCTCCCTATAAACTCCCCCTTCTCTGAGCCAAGTATAAAAAAGCTCATTTAAATCCAGAACTGATACTGCTTTTAAACTATTCTCAGCCATGAGTATCAAATATAAAGCCTAAATAAAGTAGCTCTGATATAGCTGCAGCATTAACACATTTAGAGATATTTCCTAAAAGAAACAGACTCACGTAATCGTTGTGCCCTTTGCGCCAGAATAAACGGCCTCAAACAACAGCGAGTCATGAATTAGAGACTTTGGGTCATTTTTGTGGTGGCGTGCAGCAGATTCCCTTAACCAGCCTGTTCTAGCGTGGTTTCTAAAGCCACAGCTTAAGGCTGTGTTTAGCTGTGTGAATACAGGCGGTTTACTGGCGTGTCTGTCCATATGAGCGGTTTGTTATCCGTATCGCATCACTGCTGTGACTAATTTCATAACAGGTCGGGGCAGTTCCCTCCTCAGGGGCTATTATTTCACCCTCGATGTGCCCCTCCTGTTTTGTAGGGTTTAAAAATGATGGAAAGGTGCCAGATTAAAACGAAATAACCCTAACAGGAAGGTAGAAAAGATAAGGTCTCCTAAAATTCGACATACAAAAAATGTAAAATGCGTCCAGCCTTCTTGTAACTCCAGCCCCACGTGAGAGTCGGCGAGGGGAGGGATATTTAAAGGGGCAGATTAAGGCAATATTTGTCGGAATCAAAGTGATATTACTGTCGGTGGATAAAATGTGGAGAATGCATGTTCATACGTGTGTAAGCGAAAATGAGAGTCCAGGATTAGGCGGGACAGCGATACGCCACAGCCTGCAAAAGACTCAGACCATAAACGGGGGCGGGATGGATAGCTGGGGAGGGGGGCGTGGATCCAGTGCGTGAAAGAAGATGGGGCTGCTGCTTCTGAATGCGGGAATAACAAAAGCGGTAGTAAAACCCTAATTGGGTAATTTCACTGCTGTTCTCATACTTCTACACGCTGAATATCTTTAGCATTAGCCTTCTTCGGTGTATAGCTGCGTAGGCTTAGGCAACAATGATTCTGTCATGCCAATAGCTCTATTTGGATTTTAATTAATGAGAGAGGAAGGAAAGCACGAAGGACGACAATGGCGGACCAGGGAGAGGGGGGCGTACTGATGTGGATGGCGCGGGCATTTTGTGACTGCATGATGCCAGTTGGATGTCTAATGAATTTGTTCCAATTAGCGCAGTGTACAATACTTTGATTTCACGTGGTGTAGTGGGGTCAGTTCACCGAGCTGTAATACGATCCAGTCTAGTCTAATATATGAAGCTACCCAACATTGGTTAAAGGAAAAAAAAACTATGAATTAAAATTAAAAATAATACTAGCCCACCCTGGGCGGTGACTGTGGGAAGGTGTCATCATTTTCTAAAAGCATAACGAACCGGAATGCTACGGTTTCATCCAAATACGGAATAAATGTAAATCTTCATGACTGTCAGAGAATATTAGTAGGCACGGTATAATACCACACTTATTTAAATGCTCCACAGAAATAAACTACTCGAGGGCGTAAGCTCGAAAAGGGCCTGTGTGCAAGATCCCGAAATCAAAGTGCAAACTGGGCCTGCTACCGTCGCCGGCGGGTATAAGCGCTCTCCGGGCGTATTCACACATTTTTAGTTCACATTTCTGAGAGAGAACTAATCTGAGAGCTTATCGAATAATTTAAAACAGCAATATGAGCACATTTCACCATGCAAACATTCCTTTTCATATTAAGTTGTAATGCCACAGTTAATAAATCCCAGTTGTAATAGTGTTGGTTACAAACGAGTAATGACAATAAAAATGTGTCAAAATTTGACATGCAATCATTTTATTTATTATTTTTAATAGTTTGGTATATAGCCTATGACTATTTCCCTAAATCCCAGTAGCTTCAGTCTGATGGACGCGGTGATTGACATCAGGTCCCTAAAGTCAGACCCGGACATAGAAAACCTATAGACAGCTTCCGCTCCATAGCGCCCCCTGCCTCTAGACTGTCGCTGCATCGTTGGCGTTTTTCTTTCAAGTCGCCGCATTTATCTAAAGCGACAAATGCAGATTACGTTGGTTCATTTTACACGTTTAAACAGCTGGACCCTCGCCCCACAGCTCAGCGTATTTGTGTCACTGTGTTGGCTAAACAACAGTAAAACAGAAAAAAGCACCGGCAATCTGAGGACAAACACTGATCCTTTGTGTGAGTTGAGAAACCGATCCCGGGCAGTTTTTCTGTGAAAAAAGAGGAGGAAGAAGAAAAGATACTGCTGGAGATTGTTTTAATGCAATGAACTTTCCGTTAACTGAGATCAAAATACCTCAACTCATTAGGGTTGTGGAAGTCATAAATACAAAAAGAAATGAACAATGTTATGTTATTATATTACATATAACTCACGTAAGAATATTTAAAAATATTGGGTGCAGTTTATAATCTAACAATGAAATCACATTGTCAAGAACCCGAGCTATCTAAATCCAAAGATATTTGTGCGGTTTTAAACCTATTTTCCACAGTATTGTAACCACGGCTCCAGGAATCATTCAACTTTCCGGGGAAAAAATTAAACCGACTGGAAGAGATTTTCACTGAATCAAAATGGGCCAACAAATTCTCGTTTTCCTGAGTGGTTATGAGTCCAGAGTCGATGGTACCAGACATGTTCTCCAACTTCTGTACAGGAACATCTCTCAGCCCAGAACTTACTGGAAGGAGAGCCAGATTAGGAGGCGCCATGTCAAATACTTTACACCACCGATGGCCTCGTTATTTTCCAGCTCTGTTGCTTTCAAGCAGTTCACTAAACATGGATCGAGCACGTTCAAGTCACAGTGCTGCAGTACAAATCAACTTAGTTTCAATAACCTAGCACTAACTGATAAGCTTCTCATTCCGTGTGTTAATTTCAGAGGTCATAGTAATTTGACTAATTCATGCCACTGATAAACTCCAGATAATCGGTCAACAGGAAAACTTGTATAATTACATCCGGAAAAAACCGTAATAGACTCTAGGGGATAGGCCACTAATAATCTGGGGATAAGACATGTACAATAAATTAGGATACAACAGCAGAAGGATGCTGCACTTGCACAGAGCAGAGCGGATCATGCTGTACATCGACTAACAGGTGTTATGCCGAAAAAGGCATCCCTGCCGTAGAATACATGCCGGTGTTCTGACGAGTTGAGCTTTTAGGGGTGTTTTGGGGGTTAGGGTTTTACGGGTTTCTTGGGGATTAGGGTTAGGGCTATCGATTAGCACTACGGTAGCCTAACTCGACAAAGTACCTCAACTCGTTTCAGATCAGCGACCAATCGGTCATTTAGAGACAGGCATGCATTATACGCAGGGATGCCTCTTTCGGCATAACACCGGGAAGCAAAGACGATTTGCGGAGGAGAAAACACGCGAGGGCAGTATTTGACCTGCCCGATACCGAACTGTGCCTTACGGCGTGTTCACTCAAAATGGACGGAAAAATACCCCAAATGCTTTATCTGTCATCCTCGTTTCCATTCCTGTTAAGCATGCTGGATTCATTCTACGCAGCCTGACGGTGTTCCTTCCGTTACGACCCCACCGAGTCTCGCAAAACGGCCCAGGGAGAGTGGTTTGTATGTGAATGAGAGCGAGCTCACCTCGGCGAGGGTAGCGCAGCGATACCTTGGAAGGGGGATGCGGTTTAAACATTCCCACTAGCCGGCCGTCCGCGCCAAGCTGGAACGCGGGGTGCTGAAAAGATCATCTCCCCTGTTTTTCGCAATGAGCCAGCCATTCTCCTCCAAACACGTGGTTTGCTTTGCTTGGAAGAGAGATTTCATCTGCTGGCATCCCTCTTGAGTTTACTTTAGTATGTAGAGCTTGGTCTGATTTCAGCATTCTCTGTACCAAGAATATGTTCTGAGAGTCATCTTGTTTAATGATGGCTAAAAGACTTGCTATGCATATTCACTGACACACAGACACACTAACTAACTAAATAAATATATATATAACAGGCTTTAATCTGTGTGATTAAGGCATGGAACAGTCAGCTCCTGAAATTAACAAAAAATAAGGCAATTACATGTAACACTGAAAGTCATGGTGTTTTAGACACTATTGTTGAGTGAATGAATGCCATACATGGAATCTCCTTCAAAATCTGCTTTTTAAAACAAGAAATTGAACTGCGGAGGAAATCGGAGCACCCGGAATAAACCAGCATGGGAAAAACATGGAAACTCCGCATGCCCTGCAGTAATGGTGTGAGGCAGCACCGTCATTCTCAGTGAAGTGAGCAGGGGGAATTCTGGGAGACGATGGCCAGACACAGGTACAGTCTCTCTCTCTGTCTGCCTCATCTGTTTATGTGTCACTGCCAGGAAGAAAAACTCAACCCTTTTCCATCTGCCTGCCTGCCCTCTCCCCCGCTCTCTCTGAGAGAATATGAATTCAGGTCACACTCTCTGCTGAACATAGCAGGCATAGCTGAGAGCAGGACCGTGGCCAGCACTGCTGATGTAGTGCACACTTCTCTGGCTTTGAGGCGGCGTGGAGCGCGAAGGGCCATCCACTGGCGGGGGGGGGGGGGGGGGGGGACACGGTGGTAAATGGGCCCATTCAAAAGCAGCGAGAGCAGACAAGATTCATCTGCAGGCTTCCTGATCGCTGTAGGGGAAAGTGACAAAAAATGACGTTGGAGACAGAGAGGAAGCTACTGGGCTCAGGGACCATTTTTAAAAAAAAAAAAAAAAAAGGGCACAGATTCAGAGCTGCTATTGTGTTTCTGGTTGAGCCCTGAGCAGCGATTTGCACGTGAGGGGGGGCAGCATGGCGTATGCAGAAACACGGCCTGTCTGCAGCCATGCATTTACCAAAAACTGGCCTGGCTCTGCCTGACACAACCCAATGCCAATTGCCACTCAGCCCGTTACAAAAGTGGATTGGTCAAGGGTGGTCAATGCTGAGCACGGCAAGTGCTGATGGGAGGGCGGGCGGGCAGGGGGGCACAGGAGGAGCACACTGAGGCTGTTTAGTGAGAAATTCCAGAACCTCCCGTCATTGTCTTGGTGGCTTGGGCACGACGGTCATGCCACTGGGTTATTTTTAACCAGGTGGGAGGGACAAACAAAACAGGACAGCTACAGAGGCCTGTTTGAGGAGGGGTCACGGTCTCCTAGCGACAATTCAGGCACGATTGCCACAGGGCATCCCCTCAAAGCAGACAATGCCTCCCCACACACTGTTAACTAGTCTTACTTGGAAACTCTACATATAAATATCATATCATGTAATGGCTTAACTTTCCTTCCTTTGGTGTTAAGCCCCCCACCCCCACCTTTAATCTCCTGCCCTCTGGCTATAAACAATTTAAAAAGAATGGAATGAAGGCTGTCTTTGTACAGGAGAAGGGAGGCAAAAGGACAGAGGAGCAGAGTAAAGAGAGATGAGGACCAGACAGGCAGGGAGTCCTGGGGGAGGGAGACCAGAGAGGCAGGGAGTCCTGAGGAAGGAAGACCAGAGAGGCAGGGAGTCCTAGGGGAGGGTGGGGCGGACTGGTGGAGGGGCAGGGAGTCCGGGTGGTGGGGGGACATGACAACCATCTGTGACATGGACCAGGTAACAAAGGCATTTTAGAAGCAGCTTTTATCTTTGTCATCTGTTATCCCCAAATCTGCATTGTCCTGTAGATGAGCCTGCACTTATAATCTGCTGCCACAGCCCATTCTGAACACTGGGGGCTCATCTGACTGGTCCCAACTGGCCCATTTACAGCCTCATGTGGAGGGGGTGGAAAATACGGCCACCTCCAGCCGGGTTTCCAAAAAGCTTAGAGCTGCTTAGCCAGCTTTTTAATGGCACTCTCGCCCCCCCCAAAACATAAACTGCCCCAGCCTGGGTCACAGTGACTCACGTCCTGTCCACTACATCGCTCCCCCAGGCGTTTGGGGGGGGGGGGGGATCTCCAGTTCCGGATCCAAGTTCCGCTTTCCTGTTTCCATTAAGCGCCTACCCCCCCCGCCCCCCTCTCAGGGCAGTCCCCATAAAGCTATGTGCTGTCTGATAAAGCAGCAACTCAAACAAGATGACCACCGGGTCCACAAACACACAGCTAAGCCGTTCAAAGTAATTAAAGACGAAAACTGACTTAATTATTGTCACTCAGAGGCATCAGGACGGGCAACAAATTCGCTGCCAGTGTTTGTTCACGTTGCATTCAAAACCAACAGCAGATATTTATAACACCAAATGAGAGCAGCTGGTTTAAATACTTTATTATAAAAATCGATACAGCAGAATGGGGCGGGGGGGGAAGTATCCTTGGCTTTCTGGGGCGTTTTGCCGGTGCTCCTTCTTCAGAAGCCATCCAGGTTGCTCCTGGACTCTCTGATTTCTGCCAGGGCCCCCAGCACCTCGTCCACGGCCCGTTGGCCAAGCTGCAGGCCCCCCCGGGTCCGCACACTCGCCGTCCCGCTGGTGGCCTCCTTCTCCCCCACCACTGATGGCCCCCAAGGGAAGAGAGACGTAGGAAACACATGGGTGAGTGTGGAATGGAACGCGTGCTGCCGTGGGGCTGCGTCTGCCCCCCGCCCTCACCTAGTATGTAGTTGTACTGCGCGAGCTGAGCAGAGCGGATCTTCTTATTTAAGGTGGCCCCATGGTCACCATCCATGTCTGTGATGAAGCCAGACTCACGGAACCTCCTTACCACCTTAAGGAGACCAGGACAGAGTATGAGTACGGCTCATAAACAAGTGCCGGCATGTGCACGCACACACTACCTCCGTCCGCTGGCTGACCTGCTGTGCGTACTCCTCCACGTGACTCCCCACTGGTAACACCATGACCTGTGCTGGGGAGAGCCACAGGGGCCTGAGGGCGGCAATGGGGAGCAGGGCGAGGAGACCTATGTTACGGAGGAATGGCTTGGGTGGGGGTCACACACACACACACACACACACACACACACACACACACACACACAGACAGACAAGCCTGGCTGACAGTGACTCACCATCGCCCCCCGAAGTGCTCAGCCAGGATGGCGATCATGCGCTCCAGAGAGCCCAGCACGGCTCTGTGGATCAGCACCGGCCTGCACACCACTCCGTCTGCACTGGACACACCCCCCTCACAGCTCTCAGTAAGTAGCAGATCCCCCAGGGGACGCAGAGGCCGGCGGAATTGCAGTCACACACTGACCTCACGTACTGCAACTGGAACCTGATCGGCAGCTGGAAGTCTAACTGGATGGTGGCGCACTGGTGCTGTCGCCCAGTGGCATCGCGGATCTGGATGTCAACCTGGGCCAACAGAGGATATTGATGCTGATGTGCGGGTCTCCCCTAACCCAACCCCCTGGTACCGCCCCCATCCTATCCCCTCCCCCCAGCACAGCCCCCCCCCGTCCTCACCTTGGGCCCATAGAAGGCCCCATCCCCGGGGTTCACGTCCCACGGCTCCCCAAACTGCTGCAGGCTTTTCTCCAGTTGCTGGGGCCCCAAAAGAAAAGAGAGAGAGAGACAAAAGGGAAGGTCAGAGGTGGGGTCACTGCTCTGTGTGCGGCAGCCGGGGGGAGGGGGGGGGGGGGGGTTCAAGGGAGGGGGGCTCTTCCTCCTCATCCGGGAATCTCTCAGGATGACGCAGCAGTGAGAAAAAGGGACACGTTAGGTGATTGGCAGCCCGCGTGATATGTGGGGATGGGGGGGGGGGGGGGCACGGCCTCACCTGCTCGGCGCTGCCCCACAGAGGGGCGTCTCCCAGGAAGGACGGAGGGCGCGTGGACAGCAGGCAGCGGAAGGAGAAGCCAAACACTGTGTAGACGCTGCGCACAAACTCCAGACAGGAAGTGATCTCGCCCTCTAGCTGCCAACACGATAAGAGAGAGTGACGGCACAGGCAGGCAGCATGGACGACACGCTGGTGCCATGCTTAGGGACCGTTTCCTGAACAAGCGAAACACCTACGGCCTAAAATCACACCTCAGCTATTTAATCAGCTGGAGAGGCAGCAGGCCAGGGTGAAGGTCCAACAGCAGCGTTCCGCAGCCCGGCCAGGAGATGCTACCTACCGCCCTCCCCAGCGATGGGGGGATGGCAAATCAGATGACAGGGTTCCAGAGGCTCACGCAGCTGTCCCAAAACTGCAGAACCAACCCAGCTGACCGACGGGTCACATTTGACAAAGGGGAGGTGGGCTGGTTAAATTCTATGACAAGAGGACATAATGGGGAGGGCAGGACTACAAGGTGGCCTGCTATCCAATCACATGCCAGGAAGGCTATCCCTGGGGAGGACTTGAATGGCTGAGCCCACACGGATTTCACGGTCCACTTTCGACTACTGGAATAATGAAACACATCTTGGGGGACCTGAAGGCAGCGAGCCTCCCCAGTCAGAGGCCATCTGCACCCCCGCTCCTAAACAAATACAGGTGCTGGCTATGAGGGGAGGAGGGGCGTACCTGCTCGGGGGTGCAGAAGATGTGGGCGTCGTCCTGGCAGAAGCGGCGGACCCTGGTCAGGCCCGTGAGCGCCCCCGAGTGTTCATTGCGATGCAGTGCACCGAAGTCTGCCCAGCGTAAGGGCAGCTCCCGCCAGGAGCGAACCCGCTGCTCAAACATGACACTGGGGGGGGAAGCATTTTATTGGTGGCATCATGTCATCCTGCCCAGGTACCACAGCAACCTAGACTGCACCCGCAAGCCTGGTCGGTTCTCACCAGTGGGCGGGGCAGTTCATCGGCTTGAGGGCGTAGGTGTGCGGGGGGCACTGCACCAAGAACATGTTCTCGCTGTAGTGCTCCCAGTGGCCAGAGCGCTTCCATAATGTGGTGTTGTACAGGGTAGGGGTCACGACCTCACTGAAGCCACGCCTCCGGTACTCACTCTAAATGGAAAGGAGGACAGGAGGAAGTGGGGCAAAGGGGAGGGGGGCAGGAAGGAGGAGAGGGATGAGGACGACAGTCACACAAAGCTGAGAGTTAGTGATGCTGGACTGAGACTCTGTGCGTGTACATGCGTGTACGTGCACATGCGTGTGTGTATAAGTGTCTCCGGTACCTTAATGAAGTCTGTGAGCGTGTTGTAGATGTGAGCCCCCTTCGGGAAGAAGAAGCAGCTACCGGGACTGACGTCATTGAAGAAGAACAGCTCCTGGTCCTGGGAGACATGGAGTCAGCTGTAGACGGACAGATGGGAATAAAGTGATGGTCGTCATGGCGACGGCACCTCACCCTGCCGATGCGCCTGTGGTCCCGGCGGTGAGCTTCCTCCAGCTCTCTTTCCCACTCCTCCTTTTCTCTGTGACCCGGGAAGGACACCCCCAGCACCCTTGACATGCCACCCGGGGGAGAGCTCTCCATAGCCAACGCCGACACCTGTGGGTGCATTAGGCAGAGGCGTGAATCCCCTTGCAAAGCTTCTCGTGGATGCAGGCGGACGGGAGCTTCCCTGACTCACCTGCAGCAGCTTGAACAGCTTGAGGTAGCCGGTGTGAGGGAGGAGAGGCCCAGCGCAAAGCCCTACAGCATCGCCACACCTACGGTAACGGGCCAGAGACGGTGACAGAAAGACAGGTCACATGATTAGCAGGGGGCACTTCACTCAAGTCAACAAGGCAATGAGAGGAAGGGAATTCGCCGGGAGGCCCAGAAACACCACAGGGTGAAGGTGACGTCTCCTCATGAGCAAACGTGCATCTCACCAACTGTTCACTTCAACTTATCACCTCAGAACATCATGCAAATATTTACTAGGTAGCTTCTTTACCAGCTTCAGCTTCTAGGGTTACAGATCACCTTTTAAACTTGAGTATCCCCTCATTACAGAGTCTGTCAAAACCACTACTGGAACAGGGACGTTACATAAGCTCAAACCTTTCCAGATGTTTCCGGAACCTCCCACTGCACAATAAGCAGACAATTTGTTCTTTTTTTTGCTAAACATTTCATAAGAAGCACAAATTACTGACTGGGAAGTGAAACTGAGGTCTTAAAGATTGTTTGGCAATTATGTTTCCAGGCAACATGTGGGGACTTTTTGTACAGAGCAATCGAGGATATCCGGGATTCCAACCAACAACCATCAGGTGCCCTTAACCACCAGCCAGTGTCATATTACTACTGGCACAGTAAAAACTGTCTTTCCATACTCTGAGTCTAAGGGCTGGGGGTGCTTTCAATGGCAGGGGTCTTTTAGTTGCAGTTCACCAGCAGAAGTGAGTGTAAATGAAAGGAACATGCGGTGATACACTGGCTAAGTGATATGAGAAGCAATGCATTGTGGGACAGACCTGTAGACAGTTACAGTTGGACTGATCAGCCGCTCTTCAATCAGCTGCAGCCTCGGTGAGCTGTCCTGCGTGAGCCAACATACACATTGTAACAGTTTGAATGATCGAGAGCCACAAGAGAACAAGAAACCGAGTGGAAAGTCAGGGCGCGCGCTGCCACCCTGAAGCCAACTCATATACAGACAGTGTTTGGCAGGAAGTGCCTTTGAAATGTTTGCCAATGGTTACTGGAGAAAAAAAAAAACGTATAGCAATACTGCCATCTAGTGGTTTGATTAGAGCGTCAATCTAACTGGCAATGACGGCCATGCATGGATTAGAGGGCTAATAGGTGACTTGTGGGGGTTATGCGATGGTCCCTCTCTCTGCCTTTCTGTCTCACACACACACACACACACACACACACACACACACACACACACACACACACACACACACCTGATGACTTATCCAGCAGGTTGGCAGCACAGAGGATCAGACGGGGGACTGACACAGAAACAGAGGCAAGCAGAAGACATCCGTACCTTGAAAAGTTCCTTCAGCTGATGGGTGCTGAGCTGCAGTCTGGTGAAGGGGAGTCTGAGGGCAGCCATTCGGCTGCATTTCTCTGCCACTTCATCCAGAGGAAGGAGGCTGAGCGAGAGCCAGCAAAGAGAAAGCATGAGAATGCAGAGGGAGACGGCACCCACGATGTCAAAAGAACAGGTTTTTATATATAAACACATAACACACAAAGTGTGTGTGTGTGTGTGTGTGTGTGTATGCATATGAGTGTCCCACCCTGTGTGCTAAGCTTCCTAGAATAGGCCAAAGGTCGTCTTCATAGATAACTGCTTTTTCCCCCATAAGCCTTGTTTACAACTCCATAAACAATGGCTGACGAAGGTAGCAGCTATCAACAGCCCCTCACCAGCTTGTCAGACTGAACTCTAACACTGACCATGAATGGAGGATCCCTGCCTTGCCTGCGTGACCCACAGACATTGTATACTCAAGGGGTGACTCCAGCACCAAAATCCAGGGGTGTCGCTTACCCCTCTGCTAGGTGGTAATCGCAGTAGAAGCTGCTCTCAGACGTTCCCTCCCAACACACTTCCGCCCCAAACAGCTGCTCCAGCACCGCTGCTAGGACACACGCTCCGGAACGCCACAGCACCTGGGAACCAGACAGGGAAGGAACACGCCAGGTTACCACCGGGCCACCGGAAGTCGGCATGAGGAGATCCTCTAACTCCTGTCATATGCAGGAAATGAACGAAACAATTACACTGCAGCATGTAATAAAGAGAAAACATCTAATTTAGAGAAACCGTAAGCTTATTGCTGTGGAGGGAACATGAGCACTGTACCGGGGATGCCTCAACAAGCCTCTCAGGCCAAGTTCAAATACTAAAGAAGTGGGCAATTAATAAGCCAGAAGAAGAATCCAAAAAACTATCCCATTACCCAAGGCCGACCCTGACATCACGGGGGCAGGGGGTTGGGAGGCTTGGTGGACCCTGACGTCATGGGGGGGGTGGGATGGGGGGCGGACACACACGTGAAGACAACAGGGGAGGCGCAATATTCCCGGGAGGAGCAGCACAGTTTCAGTGCCAGCGGGCACAGAGCCACCTCCAGTGTGAGCAACGAGGGAAAACTGGCATAAAAATCACTGCTATTAGCAAAGGCGCATTAGCATGGCCTGACAGCTCACTACAATGGTGTAGTTGTTTAGCAGGGGTTGGCAGGGCAGCGATGAAAAAATAATGTTGGCCAGAGAGGACATAGGACAGAGAAGGTAATAGCTTTTGCCTGGGGTTGGTGAGGGGGGCGGGAAATGCACCGGGGTAAGCTGTGCCGTTCCTGGCTAATACGTCACCAGAGGCATTTATGGAAAAGAAATAACGGCATAGAATGTGAAATCACCAGAGAACCTAACCAGCCTGAAATCACTGGATGGATGGATATTTTAAAGTACTGGCTGCACACCAAAGCTTTAGGAGGTGGGACTGTATAACGGAGCCTTGGACCACAGCCAATGTTTTGCAGGTGACTTGCAGCCTTTTGCCCTCCACTTCCCCCTTTGGGAGAGGTACGGAGACCGGCTGCGGCACGGGGCTGCTCACCTGCCGACCTTCAGCATTGTCATAGCCGAGCAGATGCAGCTCACAGTCTCCCTCCAGGGGGCGATGCAGCTCCCAGAGTTCTCCATTCACCCTGCCAACCACAGCACCCTTTACCCTGTTAAGACACAGGTGGGGGGGGGGATGACCAACCATAAACTTGTGGGGGGAAAAAAACAAATCAAAACTTAAAAAAAAAACCTAATCATCCCCACCACCATCCGATCTGAAAATTATTGCCCCAACTGACAGACAACCTCATCCATTTTTACTGGAGTGGGATTTCTGGGTATAATTGCTCTTAACCATCTCGCTACCCACTGGCCAATAACGAGTCAACCAAACAATCAAAAAGAAGATAAAAATCCAGGAGAAGAATAACAAAGATGGCTGTGTGAAGAGGTTAACCCTGAAGCAGCAGAATGGGGCTCTGAGGTATAAACACAACAAAAAGAGTTATGAAGCTATTTCCCTGCCGTCTCTGGGGTAATACCGCGCTCTCTCTGCAACCAGCAGGGGCGTCGTGATTCCGGCTGTCCCCTTCACAATGCTCCCATCCTGCAGCTGGACTGAGAGACCCTCTCCCTTTTCCCCCACCGCCCTGTCCTCCTGGCTCTCCCAGAGGGCCTCAAAACGCCGCAGGCGTTCCAATATCCCAGGCTGTGCTGGCTGAGGAAGGAGTGAGCAAAGGTGGAAAGGAGGAGAGGAGAGGACAGCACATTACATAAAGTTTAAACCAAATAACTACAATTACATTAGTAATGTGAATCCATCCTGACTCGTTATAGTGAACCTTCTGTTCAATAGGAATGACATCATACACTTTAAACTATGATTTTAACGCCGGCAAAACCGTAAAAATACAAAGTTAATAAATACTATTGATAATAATAATTAAGTATTATGCATTATAAAGACATCCTATCTACTGCCTATTTAACACGCACGTGGTTTCACAAGCTTTTCCAAGCTTCTGATACCACGGCTGACGTTGAAGTTACCAGAATGAGTTTGTTAAGTATTCATTAAACCGAAGGTCAATTATGTCAGAACAGCTCTCAAATTATGATAGACACAAAAGGAACCAATTAAGGTGGCTAATTAACTTATCCGAGTAATAACGCACACCTTACAATACCGCCTGCAGGACCAAAGAACGGGAAACGCCTTAGTCCGATACACAGACCAGCCCTTGAAGATAATATCCAACATCCCGACTGCTGCGCTTACAACAGCACAGTCATGACAGCCACTCCACACTTATTCCCCTTGTCTGCTCTCTAGCAAGCCGCCATGACACCGGAATCACAAGAGAAAGACGCAGACTGGAGCTGATTGGCTACACGCAGGTGGGCGGAGACCAGGCTGTGTAGGAACTCGCGCGCGCCCCAAGCCATTTCCGCGGATTTGCGGAGCAACTGCAAGCTTGTGTGTGCAGCTCAAGCTTTCCAACACACAGCGAATGTGCACTATTGCCCCGCCAAATGCGACGCCTTTCTGCGGGGGCCAGCACCGTTGTGCTGCTCTGTCACCACTAGGCTCGACACATATGTGACAGTATCGGCGAATCAGAAATGGGGCCGCAAGAGGGCGAGTGCATATACTGCTGCTGTACAAGGAGCAGATCTATTAACTACAGTGGATCCTGCAGATGTCTCTTTGTGCCACCACACGCATGCTACTGGTGTGTTTTCCTAAGCTTTATTGAGGTAAATATTCAAGGGTAATGTACACATCACACATGGACGACATCAGTGCGCAGAACGATTAGGTTCACTACGATCTTATCTATTGGGCATGTATTGATCCGTGCCTATTTGCATTGCAGTGTAACCCGTTAGACGGCTGCAATTTAGCAAGAGCAAACAAGTTGCAACGTTGCCCAAGGCTGCTGGACAAGTCTCCGTGGCTAATTTCCAAACCCCTTATATACATTTATATAAAAATGTAACACTCCCTACGCATTTTGTTGCCGGGTTGCCGCACTACAAGAATCACGTCGTTTACGAAATCCCAATTTTATTTCTTATTTCACACCACTTTGCATTTGGCTGTAGCATAGCTGTCCGCGATATCAAGGCAGTGAGGTGGCTCGGTAGTAGCGGCGATTTTAATTGGCAACAGAAGCGCAAATATTGCGCTTTCCGCTTAAATAATAAAGCCGCATATTAAGATAATGCTCAGTCGTCAGGGATTCAACTAACGCGCAAATATCGAGCGCAGCACAATAAATAATCATTAGTAATAATAAACCAGACAATCTAGAACAGATAGCTGTTATTCAACTACACACATACGGAGCCCCAAAGCCAGAGCGAAGCCCGACTAGCGGCTGCTCGGTCTGCTTTGTAATGGTCGCCCGCCGCGGCTCGCTGCTCTCGCAGAATACAGACAGAACTTCTCTTTAACCCGAGACTGAAAATCTTTCAGTGATTGACGTCTTTGGAAGATGCCATTAACTCACCCCTACTGCAAAATAACATTAAATTATGCCGATTTTATATTAGAAATGCATTCGTATCTAACAGTTAAATACAAATATTTGGATCTATGTTTATGGCGGACAAAGTTATTAGTTTAATAAAAATGATACAAGCCCATGGCCATTACGGCCTTCTTAATATTACTTGAAGGCTGAGTTCCATCGTAACCGATACTTCTAAATTTAACCGCAATTACGTTTCAGTTTTTTCTTCGTGATCATACAGTAAAAACATGCAGAAGACACGAATGAAGGCTACTACTGGCTAATCCACGGTACACAACGCACACAGGACACAGAAACGCGACTGCCATCTCCAGCTACAGTACACTGGTGACTTGGAGTGCAACAGTGACGTCAGCAAGGTCCCCCTACCTCTCACTCCAATAGCCACATTCACTCATTTCACAGGGAACATAAATCAATGTTCAGAACTGATTGAGAAATTTAATAAGATAACACATTTATGCCCAAAGCCTAGAATGGAGTACCCAGTTTATACAGAAGACTAGTAGTTCACTTTCTGGACTGTTGGGGTGGGAATTTGTTTTAGTGGGATTATAATTTAGTGTTTGTATGCGTATGTTCACACAATCACCCTACGTTAGGTACTACAGCAACCAAATATGCTTTCTGTTTAAAACAACATGACCCCAACCTAATACACTGTTAACCAAGAATTGTGGCAGGTTTAAAATTTATGCATTTCAAGTTCATTGCAACTTAGTATTACAATTAAAATCAGTAAGACCTTAAAAATTCTCGGTGATAACGTGAAGAATCGAGAGCTGATAAGGATTACAGAATTACAGAAAACCTAAAATCACTTGGAGTTCTGCCATGTCAGTCTAGGCTGTGACCTGTTTTAATCATAACTGCAAAAAATGTGCAGGACATTTGTTGCTTTCCAGACGGTCGGCATTGTCTGGTAAGAGTCTGCACACACAATGTGAAAGCTTAGATGTTCATACATAATCATTCATATGTAAAGACCTGGGGACGGCTTCATCACAGTCCATATGAAACACCCAGTACACATCAGAACTTTTTCAGATATGGAGGGGGGCAGGGGGTAAACAAAAAACAGGGGGGGAAAGAACATTGTCTGGTAGGATCACAGGCAGCAGTTTTACAATTAGTAAACAAATCCTATCCACAGGCTCCTCTAGATTTCCTATATAAGCTTTAAAAAGCCATTGGGAGTCTTGAAATTACACATGCCCCCCCCCCCCCTCCTCAGTTATAAGCAGTTTAATTGTCAAAGCCTTTATTTTGCAGAGTCCAGGCTGTACGCTTGTGTTATAACGGAAACAGAGTTTATTTCTGAGAAGGCGAAATGAGACATCAGACAGGGTGAAAGAGAAAATGGCTGAAGGCATGGCAAAACGTGGAGGGTGAAGGGAGCTGGAGGAAAGAGTGAAGGAACATGCAGGGAGACAGGAGGGCCTGGCTACCGGGCTCAGAGAAACACACACCATTTGTCTGGATGGGACTGACATACAGACAGCATTAATGCGCTTCAGAAACACAAGTGGTTTGGTACGCCAAGCCATAAACAGTAGTTAAAAAAAAAATAAAGGCATCATAAAGAAATGATAATCGTAATACCCAGAACTGTAAATAAAGTATCCTTTCTTGGTTGTTTTCAAACTCTGGTTTTTATTACAGTCAGTACATGTAAAAGCTTTAAGAGAACTGGAAGAGAGTCACGTCTCAAAGCACCCCGTCCCTAGCTTATTGGATTTAAGTCTCTCCGTCACTTTTTTGTTTGCTGGTTTGATGTCAAAGCAATATTTCAGTGATAGCGCCCAGTAAGGCTCACATCATCCTCCTCAGTCATTAAAACATCCTTCTGTGGGATGGATGAGACACCCTGGTGCCTTATAAACACAGCTGTCATGTGCTATGTACAGCGTGAAGTTTGGCTCCGCTGCGGCTGTTTCAAACTAACGGCTCACAATTACAATGGTAACAATAGTAATACTAGCAAGGACTCAAATTCTTTTGTCTCCAGCTACAAACAGTAAATGCAGACAACAGAACTATATAGCAATAACCCACTCTTTCGACCTATACATTTAGATGTCTGAAATGTATAGAGGGGAAAGACATTATATACAAATATCAGAGTCAGCACGGCACAGGGGACTCTGGAGATTAGTCCTTGGGGATTTGGGGGAGACAGGGCTGGAGGGGACCTAAATGAAGGTAAAGGGATCTCTGAAATGACTACTTTACTTTAAAAGAATTTGCCCATGATGTTGAAAACATGCAAAGGCAGGGGGCTAAAACCTCACACTGCTTCTCAGAAGGTATAAACAGAATACAACAAAGGAGAACAAGGAAAATAACCTGTTATTCACCCTTCGCAGTGACCCCCTCTCCCCACTCTACCCCACCCCCTGCTCCGACTCATGTTAAGCAGTACACACAAAAAAAAAAACAGAAGGGCAAGTAAATAACCACCTCTTTTTTCCTTCTCTTTATTATACCATCTGCAGGTAGTTCTCCTTCCATCGTGGCCTACATGACGCTCCCATCATTTGCTATGGGTCTTGGAGCTGGGGGGGTCATTGGCATGTGAGGGACATAAGCGCACAACCATGTAGAGCGTATAGTGTGAAGCAGTGAATGCAGTGATTACACAGGGAGCATTGCACCACTGTCTATTTACCGTGCGAAGAGGCTGTTCGAGGGTGAAACTGGAGCAGGCCACAACCTCGCAGGAGAAGGGGGGGCGGTTTGATTAACCCTTCAGTAGCGCGGGGGCAGGAAAGGTCTCTTGGGAGGGTAAAAAGGAGCGCCTCTGGGACCGCTCCCCGGGACACCGGCGAAGGGGGGGGCGGGTTTGCCTGCTCGGAACATGGGATCTCGCTCGAAGTGGGGGGGGCGCAGAGGGTGAGGGGGACGCCCGCGGAGAAACTGTCTCTGGGGGGGGGGCACGGGCTGGGGGTGTGGGGGCCGCAGCGGGAGCCTGGGGTTCGGGGAGGGCAGGCGCATGAGTGAAAGGGGGGGTGAGGGGCGCCTGTGGTTGTGAGGCTGCGAATTGGGGTTGGTCAGTGGGCGCTGGGCCTGCTGAAGTGAGGAGGGGGTGGCGGTGTTTCTGTTAGGGGGCAGGAGGGGAGGTGGGTCTCCCGAAGGGGACGTGGGTGCAGAGGAGGCCGATGAGGGTTGGGGGGAGTTGGGGCCATCCCGGGCTCTAGCAAGCAGTGGAGGCGGGGCCCCAGGCGTCCCGGGGCGGTGCAGAGGAGGGGCATGGCACGAGCTGAAGTGCTCCTTCACAGTGGCTGCGTGTGGGAGATCTTTAAACTGAGGGGGGTCGCCAAGCAGGGAGGACATGAGGGGAGGAGGGAGGCTGCTGGGATTGCCCCCCCCCCCCACAGCAGAGCCGCTGCTGCTACTACTGCTGGTGCCACTCCCCCCGCGGTCTCCGGAGTCAGGTCGGCCAGGAGGGAAAGGCAGGGCGCGGTCTACGGGTACCAGCACCCCGCCCACCATGACGGCAGAGGGCGGAGACAGGAAGTCCCGCGGTGGTGGAGGCGGCTGAGGGATGGGAGGAGGAGGGGGCTGCGGGATGGGGGGCGGAGGGGAACTGAAGAAGGAGGTGGGGGGTGGATGCTGGTGGGGGAGGGGACGAGAATGGGGGTCTTCAGCAGGGAAGGGCATGACTGGCCTCTCCTCAAACTGGAACTGCCCCGGAGCAAGGTGGGGGTGGGGAGGCAGGAGATGGGGTGGCGGAGGCAAAGCAGATGAGCCCAAACTCCGGTCATCAGAACCACCCGGCGTGGACAAGGCAGGGGTATTGGGGTGGGGTGGAAGGCCAAGAGAGGGAGGAGGAGCCATGATGGGAGGCAGGGGTGCCTCCATGTACGCCTCGTCATACCAGCCGCCCCCACCACCGCCCGGCCTCGGCCCGGCTCCGCCCCCTCGGCCATGGGGCCGGGAGCCACGGCCAATGACGCGGATGCTCTCCACGGTCTGGATCCTCTCGCCCGACATTCGCCGGTTACTGTAGCCCAGAGTCTCGATGGGAGCTCCCTCCCCACAGGTGGAGGAGGAGACCACGGTTTCGATGCGGTGGTAGTGAGCGCCCTCTGCCTCGCTGGTGGGTGGGGTGCTTCGCGGCGCGTCCTTCTCCCCGCCCTCCCCATGCGACTGCTGCTCACCGCCCCCTTCCTCTGCGCCGCTGCCCATCTTTCGGGGTGCTGCATTCTTCACGCGCTCTGCAGGGGGGACGGGGTGCTGATGGAGAGGCTCCTTGGAGGTCGAGCCCCTCCTCTCACCCAGCCCGTCGTAGTAGCCCGGCTTGCCTGGGCCATGGGTGGCGCCGTAGCTATCCTTCCTGGCTTTGATGTGACCGGGCTTAGGGTCCTGGGCAGCCGGAATCAGAGCCGCCCCAGACACAGAGCTGGAGGTTCTCTTCTTCAGGGTGTCCTCTCCCTTCAGCTTCAAGATTGACTTGGAGGCCTTCTTTTCCACACCGTACCCAGGGTACCGAGAAGAATGATAATCCCCGTCGTTGTCCGCTTGGTTGAAGACGGCCTTGGGCGAGATGGCCACGTCCCAGGAGTCAGTGCGATAGGCAGTGGGAGAGAGGTCGTGCCCTATGGATGCTGGCAGCTTCTTCATGCCCCCCAGAGAGCCGGCCTCCGCCAGGAGCGCGAGGGACTCCGAGCCGGGTTTGTCCATGATCTCATCCTGGGTGGGGGTGCCTCCCGTCTCATCGCGGACGGGCGTCCCGTCCACGTTCTCTGAGCCCAGCAAGGGGCTGTCATTGCTCCCTCCTGGGCCGCTGCCCAGGATAGGGATACCCAGGTTGATGGCACTGAACCCTGGGTTTCCCTGGAGAAATTTATGAATTTTTGATTCTAAACTAGAGGGAGAGGAAGAGGAGGCCGAGGAAGAGGACTCCCTCTCCAGCTCCCTGTCCACCTCCCGCTTATAGTTGTTGCCCGACGGGGGTTTGGGTTTAGCGGCGCTAGGCATCGTAGAAATCTTCCCCACCGGCACCGCTGAGGATGAGGAGATAGAGGAAGGCTCAGGAGAGGTGTATGTGTGGCCCCGCACGGGCACTGGGGCAGTGGGATTCGAGGTCCGTTCCTTGGCCGCATTCGCTGTCACAGAAGTGTTTCCAGCAACACTGTGCAAAAGGGAAGACAGACCTAAAGACAAGGAGGGGGGGGGATGGTGTGTTACAACGATTCACACTCCGGGATCCTCAACGAGATGAGTGGTGGATGAGGATGTACGGAAGCTTGGGATACTGGGTTACAAACTACAGGCAGCAGCCTAGCATCACTACATGCACAATGACACACTGAGGCAGAACCTTTTATTATTACTCATCTGTCTGTGACACAAAAGCCAAGGAAACCCCTGGAGATGCTGAGGAAGACGACGACGCGGGGCCCATCGGTGGGGCGCTCTCACCCTGCAGCCCAGCACTCGGTCCCTGGCTCTTAGACAGGGCGCTCAGAATGCCTTCAGGGGTGATGTCCACACGGGATAAGATGCTGGCCAGCGGGTTTGGAGCCGACGCTCCACCAGGGGATGGTGTGCCGGGCTTCACCGCCGAACCCTGAGCCGACGGGGTGGTGGGCGTTCCCGGCGAGGGGCGGGATACTGGGCTGACGCCTAAAATCAGGAGGACGCTGGCAGATTAGTAATGCAGTGATAATTACAGCCTGTACACTAAAGTGCCCTGCTGCCACCAGAATGCACTCACCAGTATTCTTCATCACTGACGTGAGGCTGCTGAGGATGGAACTGATCTTGCCCAGGTCCACGTTGGCCAGGTTGACTGGCAGGGGAGTTGCTGGGGTCCCAGGGGTGCTGGGGGTGGAAGTGACGGGTGGTGCAGGCTTTTTTGAAGGGGGCTCCTCTGAGAGTCGCTGAGGTGGAGCAGCAGGAGGAGCAGCAGGAGCAGCAGCGGCAGGCTTGGGAGCGGCAACAGGGGCCGGCTTTTCTCTGCGCTCCTCCACTGTGGGGACACATAAGATGACACACTCAGGACACAAGGGATGCTTTTGAATGAGCAAAAACTTTTCACTGCTGTAATTTTTACTTCATTACATCGGCACCATTCCCTCAACGAAGATAGGTAGGATAATGGTTAATGAAGAGTTCAAATCCTGAAAGATGTTCAGCTCAGTATTTGAAAAGCTGGAAACTGATCGATGGATGACCACCAACTGACTGCCAAAGCTACCCTGTAGTGCTAGTAAATTAAGCAGAAAAAAGGTTAGTCAGTCATTAAATCAGTAGCCTGCTTATGTACAAAATTAGTCACCCCTAACCTATGATGTTGGTGCTGTCAGCCTCCTCTCCTTCTGAGAGCTCCATGTCCTCCACATCTCTGTTGTCCCCCTCCCCATGCCCGTGCATCTGGCTGTGGGAGCTGCTGGGAGAAGACCTGGGGCCGGCCGTGTCCCCCAGGCTGAAGGCCACATCCCGCCTGTCGTCCACGGCTCTGCCGTCAACATCCATCATGCCAACCAGGTTCCCCGATGTGTCCCCTCTGGCACCCCCAACCCCCATCCCATGAAAGGGGGACTCTGATCCCGTTGGGGACGGAGCGTCCTCAGAGGGGGAGGGGATGGGGGAGTCATCGGGGTCAGGGAGGGCTGCCTTAAGGGCATCAAGCTTGCGCTTCAAGTTAGACACACGGTTGGCAAAGGTCTTGTATGCCTGTGGGAGAGGGGGACAGGAGCATTTGGAAAAGGTCAAGGTCCAGATATCATTAATAGCAGAAACTTGAGCAAGACACCAGGAAAGGGAGTAATTTCCTACAACTCACATTTGCGACAATCTTGACCTCCTTGTACTGCATCTCGTAGAAGACATCAGCATTGGCCAAAGCCTCCAGAAGAGGGGGGCCTCCCTTCACCTGCTGTTCCAGGAAGTTCACAAACTCCTGCAGCTTCCCGCTGCCTTCCTCAAAGTCCTTTGAGAACTTCTTACCTCCAGCCTTATCTGAGAAAGTAGAAAAGACTGTGTGAATTCTAAGAAGGCCTTATCTTAGAATTTAGTGATCAGTGGTCATTGTTGACACACCACAGCACACAGTGCACAACAACGAAATGTGTCCTCTGCATATAACCCATATGTGACATTGTGACATAGCAGGGGGCACTAATTCAGTGCCCGGGGAGCAGTGCTTGGGGGCAGTACCTTGCTCAGGGTTCCTCAGTGGTGCCTTGCTGGTCAGGGATTCGAACCTGCAATCTTTCAATTACAAGTGTGCATCCCTAACCATTACGCCACCACTGCTCACTCATCAGTAAGTAATTAAGGAAGAAGCACCACTAAATGCCAACATGTCACCTTTGAGCCTCTTAAGGGCCTCCGTGCTGCAGACATCGACTCGGAGGGCGGACAGCTGCTTCTCCTTAAGGTCAGCTTCCTCCACAGACTGCTTGTACTTGGACAGCTGCTCTATAAATGCTTGGGGCTGAGGGAGAAAGAGCTGGTATAAGTGTTGGAGCTCAACCCTCAAGCAGTCAAATGTGCCTGTAGATCATTTCAGATGCTGGGCAGACACTTACAGCAAATTCAGCAACAATCTTTGACTTCAGGGCAGCCTTGGGGTTCACTGGGGCTGCAATGAGAACCATTCAAACAGTGAGTTGCCTTTTACCTGCTCCTCCTTTCAGCAGCCCACAGGTCCATGGCCTGCTTGGGCTGTGCATCACCAGGGTAACTGCAGCAGAGTTCACCCACAGACTCACCAGGAGCTGGCTCCTTCTTAGCCAGGCTAGACTTTAGCTCCGTAATAAGCTCTTCTGGATAGACATTCCTCTCCTCCCAGATAGTGAAGATCCTCTCAACAGACTTGCGTACCTTCGCATCCCTGGTGTGCAGGGGAGGAGATGAAGGAAACTGTTTTAGCGCATTCGGTGAGCATTGTTTGTAAGGGTCATACGTAGCTGTATTTCTTAATGAGCTACTTGGCGAGAGCTGCATTCCCGACAGTTACAGTTTCTGTAGTCGCACTTGGTAATGTCACAGGTCCAACGCCAGCATGCTACTCCTGAAGCACAAGCTAGAACACTATCACTCTGACCTACATGCAGGGGTTCCCATGACAGGAGAGAGTAGCCAAGTCCCAAAAATCACCAGTAGGCACAGTCGACTTACTTGACCAGCAAGGCAGCCTCGGGAAGCACTTCTGCAAAGGTGGAGCGGTAGATGATTGCATTCTTCCTCTTGCAGTTCTGAATGACATCATTGGCGAGGTAGAAAAGGTTCAGCCTGTGACTGGGCTCCGCTACAGAAAGACAGTTAACATTAATAGAATATCCAGAGCCGTTTATACTCATTTTGAATCCATTCACAATCAGCAATAACTTTAGGTGAAAAGTAAAAACTGCAGGAAGTACAATGAAAATGCAATAAAAGTCACAAAAAACATTTAAACTGTTACTGAACTGCAATATACTTTAACAATTAAGTTCTAACTATTTGTAATATTTCATGATAAGTACCACTTGCTTTTGCAGGAGATACAAGGACCGCAAGTACTTGGGGAACCTTACAGCTCCCCCAGGGAAGGTTCTAGTGACTCCAGCAGCCAGTCTACAATCTAAATGATGTTTGATAGCAAAGAACACTCTGAGCACAACAAAGGCCAAAAGGACTCCAGCACTATTTGACAAACCAGCATCAAGTTTGTTACTAAATGACAAAGCTGGCCAGTGGTAATTAATGAGGCAAAGCAACTCATACACAGCCTACAGTCAAACTAATTTCCATAATATAAAAAACAGAAATACTTAAATACCGGTGACATTATTAATATGAAGTTTATACCAATGGCCAAATTATTAAAATACAAGTAAACTAGGTAATGGGGGTGGTCTATTTCCTTGCAGACTGTCAGTTTTAAATGAGTTTATGCTGTTGGCTGCAAAGTTCATTAAAACGCAGAAGACAAACTGACACATGGCCTCCTGACGCGTATCCATGGTTTCACAGGGATCCTCTCACAGGAACCCAAGCAGACTTTTACTGCATGCATCGCTGACATCTTTATAACAAATCTTCCAAGATTAACGCTTAAAACGCAAATGCCTCTGTAACTAAGTAGGTCAACACTTTGTCCTGGTTTTATAAATGGAGTTTACATGTTGTTAGGAAGTCATGAGTTCAGGAGACTAGGAAGCCTCTAAGAGGAGAGGACAGGAAGTCCCCCTGTATCAGGGACCCCAGCCCATTAACGTCTGAGATACGCAAGCCTCCTTCCCCCTCACAGAGTTGGACTGCCAAGAGATTCTGGACATTCAACCCACAATAATCCCAAGGGAACTCCTGTTCAATCAAACCTAGAATTTGATTTCTTCAACTCGTGGACACCTGGGATATGGCTTATGGTATGGACTGTCTCTACAGCTCCCCCCCCACGTTCACTTCAGTTCAACCTCATGTAGTGTACCTCAACAAATCTGAATGAAATTAGTTTGCCACTGGAATACTGAGAAACATCTGGATTGATTCACTCCATAGCTTAAGAGGGCTCTATGAATGTGTTCATTGTTCGATGGCTAAAACCCGTACTCAGGAATGCACTTATGACTGTCACATTCAGTAAGAGCTGACGCTGAGAAACTACCACGTCAGACTTCCTCAGTGCAGAAAAGTGGGTGGTTGGTGCTTTGCGGTCAGTGTGGAGAAAGCAGTGTTCTGTGGGCGAATATGACTGGCACTGTGCAAATGGGGCCAGGGGGGCACAATTACAGTGTAATTTAAATGCATAAGCAATACAGTCTCTCCCCAGGTTATGATGGGGTTACGTTATGATAAGCTTGTAAGGCTAAAATATCGTGAGGTGAAAATGCATTTTATTACAGTACACCTAACCTACCAAACATTATAGCCTAGTCCAGTGTATTTCAACCTTTTTTGAGCCATGGCACATTACTTACACTGAAAAAAATCCCACGGCACACCACCAACCAAAAACTCCGGATCAAATCCTAAAAAGTTTGAGTTGTGATCGAATTTTCCCCATAAGAAATAATGGAAAACCAATTAATTGGTTCCGGGCCCAAAAAATTACATCTAAATGTTTTTTTTTAGCATTTAAACTTGATAAAACAAGAAGAGCATATAATGTACTAAACACATCTAAGCACATTTATCAAAACAGTGATTTGTAAAGTAAGAAAATAAATGTATCCAAACAATATGTCCTGCCCCGATCGTCCGCTCCTTCCGTGTACCACGCCCCCTCGTTAACCCCGTGTGGTATCCCCATGTGATCAGCTGGTTCTGGTTGTTGTCATTAGTCCTCTGTATTTCGTCCGCGGTTCAGTTTGTTTCCCTAGTCTGGCCATTGTGTTGTCCGTCTGCGTTTTGCCTGCCTTACCTGTAATTAAACCCCGTATTCCCCGATACCCTGACGTCTGCGCCTTTGTCTCCGGTCTGTCCCCACTCAGCACGACAATATTATTATAATTAAACGTATTAATGGTTTATTATGAATATTAAAATAATGAATAAAATCTTTATTTTAAAATGTATTTTATTATATAATAATAATTACTGTTACTGTCTATCATTGTCAATGTATTTCTACTGTCTAAATATATGTATTCAGCTAGAGTAAACATGCAGGATGCTATCACAGTGAATGCAAGGCTGAGACTGAAGCTTTACCCTTAATTTCCGCTGAGAGACATGCCACGTGACTCATTTCCCAGCGTGTACAAGTTCTTAGGTCGGCGTTTACGGTTTGACTTCTGAGATTCACATAGAGTTCTAAGTAATCTTTTTTCGAACTGGTTGGTTCGACTTAAGAAATTTGAGTTCTAATGACTTTGAGAACTGAGGTACCACTGTACTAACTCAGTGTGAAACCTGAGCCTGATTGGATGAACACAAAGCTGATATCCTGGCAGGAATTGAAGACAGACACAAAAGCTCTTCCTCAACAGCTCTCAGTCTCTCTCTGTTTTTCGTTTTTATATGAGTCAGGCTTGAAAAGCTCAGCTCACACAGATAAGTCATATGTCAGAGTTATTTTTTAGCCCAGTCTGAATTTCTTGGCAAAAGCACCTTAAATGCTTCTGCTTTTCTCCAGCTGAACACACAATCAGATGATGTTGAATGTGTTTCCAGCAACAGAACCAAGTTCAGTATAACAGAACTGACAGATTTGGTCTTCCAGTAAAACCCCGTTATAGTGGACTCGCTTATAACGGAATATCGTCTACAACGCCGCTGGTCCCAGCAGTGCACCTTCACGAACATGCAGAAAAAGCATCGGATATAGCGGACTCACATATAACGGAATTTTGCTTATAACGGACAAACAATATGTTCCCCAGGGCTGCTTTTAGCTGTAGTTTTGTTCGGTTATAACAGACATGCAGGCTCCACATACAAGGCGCGTGGCATGCCAGTGGTATCCAGCGCAGATACGTAGTCGGGAATATTAATAGTCACACATCTGGTCAGGTAAAGTTGGATTACTACATGTACAATATAATGATCTATACAACAAGTGTGTCTGCTGGGGTGCGGCATGAGTAAATGGTGTCCTGTAGTTGTGTTCTGGGCATACAGCAACTCTGGATATAACGGACTTTGGACTGTTTTGCCAGATACCTTAAAGTCTGTTATAACGGGATTGTACTGTATGAGCTATTCTCTCTCCATTGATAGTATAATTTATTGAGAAATTACTGATTTGACTAATGTGAAAACATCTCATTTTGCTGTTATCAGACTGTAATCAGCACTAGCCATAACCAACTGATTGCTGAAATCAGCATGTTTTCTGTATTGAACATCTACTAGTGAATTTCGGTTCTGCCTGTGTCAATGTATTCGTTTCACCATGCATACTGAAACGAAAATGAAGTAACCGAACAGCATACAAAGTGGCATAAAAACAACTAATTTTGTCACCAAGAATACAAAATACCTCAGTAGACTATTACCATTCCACCCAATCCTAGTAACAACTTTGAAACCTCATAAATGTGTGCACACTTTACTACACTGCTTGTATTTGTGTTCATTGCAATACATGTGCCCTCAGCCAGTCTGGAGGAATATCACTGCTGTACATGACAAACAAATGCACTATGCACACAAATCCCGGCATGCAGAAGTGTGCACGGACCATAACGGTATGGGAGAACGGTGAAGTATGAACTAGGCTTAATGCAGCATTGTACTACTGCAGTCCTAATTTAGACATCAAACCAAGATATAAGTGCGACCTCATGGGAGGAGTTTTCCAACACAGATGACATTATATTGCAGTACAATGTGTATTACAAATTAACTATGGAAAACAATGAAGGCGATCTTAAAAAAACAAATACATTTTAAAAAGACATAGCTCTATTAAACAGGACACATTTAACACGGACCCATTCAGCAACACTGGATACACTCAATGCAATGGTTATGATGGTTCAAGGCAAGACCATTTCAGCAAACCCAAACAGACCATTCTGAGCGCGTACTCATACTTGGCCCGACTGCCTTGTGCCGTGCCTGAGCACAACTGCCGCCCCTCCCTACTCCCCGCTGGTCTGTGCTCTCATTACCCTTAACATTACGGGCCAGGGAATGCTTTTGTCATCACTGTGCAACTTTTGTGTTGAAGAACAAAGGAAGAAAAGCACAATCACACAGTACAATGGATTCATGTCATTTTGTTGCTTATTTGGAGTCATTTGCAAACAATGGCACACAGAATTCTTATAGATTTATTGAGTATGCAATGGAGCGATTTTCATTTAATCTCACTGCACGTATAAAATACTGCCATTTTGGAATCTGTGTGTGTTGCATCTAGTCATTTCTGGATATTCTCGTCAGCCCAAGTTACCAGCAAGTCTGGTACTTTTGTCGTAAACTGAAGTGATCCCTTCGTTGCAATGTATAGTTTCTCACTACTCTATCGATATAGTCTATATCCAAGCCGTTCCTTCTGGGTCCGGTTAACGTGCAGTGTACATGCGCATGTGCGTCAGTGCAATCACTGATGTCATGTCTGTGTTGCATGCTTGGGCACGGTTAGTGATCACACTAGATGCGTATCGTGCCCAAGTATGCTAAACCGTGCCCGGGCACAGTTAGTTGTAACACTAGTGATCACACTAGTCAAATGAACTGAACCTTGTTGGTCAAATGGGTGACCAAATGGGTGTGAATGCACCCTAACTGACAGGGGAGAACTGGCAGAGAGGCAACAGAGCCAATGGTTTAGATCCTGTCAAGTCAGATCTTGGAACAGGGCTCTGTGATTGTTAA